ATTACTTTGGTGAGCAGTTGTGGTGGTGGGGCTTATTTGGATTTGCTTGGAATGTTGGACATTTCCCAATAGTCTTTGCTTGGTTTATGTCACAGTTCTCGTTGAATAGTCTTTGCTTAGTTGCTTGAATTTGTATACTTGTGTAAATAAGTTTGTTTTAAAAGTTTTAGTTTGTGATTTTGATGTTTTTGTTGGAATTAGCTTTTTAGATTTAATTTCTCTGGATTGGTTTTGTAGATGGTTATTTTCTTTTTGAGAAATTTGCATATGTACTACACAATTCTTATGAATTTACAAATCTAACGCCTAAAGTTTAATATTTACAATTATACCACTTTGGTGTTATAAACTTCTGCATAAAAGATATGTATTCGACTTTTGGAATGCAACTAAAATTGGTGTTTTTGACGAGATGTTAAAGATTTCAATGTTATGAATGTAAATATTAAAGTTTAATTGCTACATATGTAAATACATGAAAATTTTCTGATATGTATGCAAATGAGCTTTTTTGTTTTGGTTTGAGTTTGCTTATGAGTATATCAAATCCTTATAATTTTCTTATTTTACTTGTAATTTTATTAATTTTTTTTCTTTTTCTTTAGCATTTTCGGGGCTCACTGTTAAGTGAGGGTATATGAACTTTCTGTTATGTTTAGAAATGAAATTCTGCTTCAGAAGTTTAAAAAATATAGTTGTTACAGCCTTCTTATAAACAGTTTTACCAAATAAGAGCATCATAGCCATTTTTCCATAAACAGCTGCCCACAGTTGTTTTCACACAGTTGCACCAAACAGACAGTCAGCTTCCCCGCAGCTACTTCCTCACAACAGTTTTCTGGAGCAGCGCAGCTTCAGCTGAAAAACTGAGAAGCTGCAACTGCGCCAAACAAAACCTAAATAAGTGACATTATTATGATATGACCTCTATGAAATGACACCGCTATAAAATATGCTTATAATTTCATGCTTACGACCAAAATATTACATTGTACACATGATTTCTATACATGCTTTCTTATGCTAGCCTGTTATCAACTATGTGTAGACATGTACAGTTTTCAACAAGCAAGCATGTTGCTTCTTGTCTTTTCATGTGTAAAATCTTATATTAGTCTTAATTATTTCTCTGAGCTTGTTGTTTGCTCATTATTTATTGTCTTTCGGGTAGGGGCCAAAGGCACCGGGAAGAGTAGTCAGATGTGTCTTTGTACAGCTTTTGCACGTTAGTTTTGGAAGCTTTGAGCATAGGTTCTGGGTAAGTATTTTTTTATTATTTTGGAATTCACAATTCTATATAGTTTTCATGTTTTGGATTATTTAATTTCTATACTTTCAAATATTAGTTGAAATGCAATGTATCACCTATGTTACAGCGATCCAGTTAAACTAATTTATCACCCACTAGGTCCTGATTATAAAAATCATGACGAGTGCTGGTAAGAGTTGGTCTAACCTTATTGTCACGCACCACGATTGACCCTACCAGGGGGGTTAGTTGGTGTGTGACAACAAGAATGCATATTAATTCACCAAGGATACACATCGTACATTTATGCTGAAAGGAGTCTAAGGCAATGGACATGCTTAGCGGATAGAATGCCAAAGGTCGGCTCTATCAACTTGCTCATTACTCCAATCCATGACTGCACCATTTCAATTCAAGCCAATGCCAATCTTAGCTTAGGTAGTGTAGAACCATGTTTGGAATCTAAATACATGCCAAGTTACCTAAATTCAAGCTAGTTTGAATGATTCTAATTTTAAATGGGTTTGGGAAGCTTCTTAAATGAAAAATTAATTTTTTTCCAAATATTTGACAAAGTTGATTTTAATTGACAAAAGCCAATCTGTTGCTTATTTATTATCTATATTTAATGAAATCAATTGATTCATTACCAAAAACATAAAATTTAGGTGCTCATTTGGATTTATGGATTACATAGGCATGTCCAAGTTAATATAAGTAGTAACATGGAATTAAATTCAAACTTATTACAGAAATAAACTATATGATGAATTTCGTTAAACCATGAGCCTACTTTATACCTATTTACAAGTCATTTCTCTTAGCTCACCACTCATAAGGTTGTAAATGAGCTGAACTTCAGTGAGCCCAATGTTTATTTGTAAATGACTAGTTCAAAAATTTATTTTGAATTACGCTCGAAATGACAAGTGAATAGCATCTAACTGTTTATCTCAATTTGAATTTGGTAGTTCGTTTGTGGTACATATTCGGCTCAAATTTAGCTCAAATAATTTAAAAAATAATGAAAGTAATATTGGTATCAGAGTTAAATCAAGGTATGAAAAACATAAATTATTACCAAAAATAAATAAACGATTACAATCAATAAACTAGAAAAGGGTAATTACAACAAATACAACACAAACTCATGCTAGGGCTTTACACATGGGTGGTGGAGATCGGCTAGGTGGTTGGGGAGCAAAGATAGATGGCTGAAATGAGATTGTAGGTGGTTGGTACAGCCAAAGGAGGGCTTGGAATCACATTGGCAGCAAAGCAGAACGCTGGGAAAGCAAGGGCAGCAGATGAGGTGGCGAGTGGAGCGGCAAAACGCTGTAGGAAAGGAAGGAACAGCAGGGGACAGCAGGAGAACAGCAGACTTATTATTTCCAGTGACAGCAGCAAAAGGACAAAGCGAGGGGTTGGAGGGCAGTGAAGGGGCAAAACGAGGGGACGGTTGTCTGGGACAGGGGCAATGAGCAAGGAGGGCTGGAATGAGAAAATTACAGTGAAAAACAATAAAAGATGTTGTCTTGGATGCAGCTGCAACAGGGAAGGACGACATGGAGCGGAGAGGTGCGATCGGAGAAGAAAAAATCACCACCTGGAAACCAAGATATGACAGAGGCACCATTTGGAACCCTACGATACAGCCTTTGAAGGGGAGAAGAGATGTCGGCGGCTGTCCCAAGGCAGAACACACCGAAAAGTTACTTCCAGACTCTCATACAACATATATATACAAAATGGCTACAAATGAATTAAGGATAATAGGAAATAAAGCATAATAAAGGAAAACAAGATTATTTTGGCATGTCTCCCGCAATATATATTTTCAGGGTACTATAGTAGCTACAATACTGTGGTATATTTTTTGCAATAGGCTCCGGCGTCAAATATTTTTTTTAAAATAAAGCATAAAAATTCAATATAAAAAATGTATACTAAATACTAATCTTTTAACTATTTAATTAATTTGATCAAAAATGAGTCCAACACGATCGAGCAAAGGTAAGTTCTTGTTCACATTTATAGTGAGGAAGTACGATAACAACATTCATAGAATTAGTTCCTAAAGAAATTTGACTTTATGATGGTTGTACCATTTATCTTCCAACAAAACTTATAATTCTAGTCATGCATTATACGAAAAATTTACATTGTAACTATTAAGTCATTAAGACAAACTATGTTTCTTCTCTCAAACAAGAAATGCAAAATTGAATAAGTCTTGAGAATATCTTTGACATACCACCTTAGGAAATTTGAAGAACAATCCACAACTAAAGTTCCACAATAGACTTGTCATTACAAATTATTTGTTCAAAAGAAGATGTAATCATGATCCCATAGAACTCCAACAATGACAGATCTGTTCGGAAGCCTAATAGATTTTGTTGATTCGTTGTTTTCACTTCACAACATTCGTGTTAAATATTCTTCTACTTTTGTTACCAAATATAAGGTTTGGTTAAAATTTCACTGCAAAAGTTTTTAAAGCCTTAAGATACAAATGCTTGACAGGTCACAATTCTCACCTAATAGTATTGTCTAAGTCACTGCAAGAAGATCCATTTATTCTAGAAACCTGCAACGGATTTGATGAATGCAATTATACTCTTATATTGCTCAAGGCATTTTGAAACTCAGACCAAAGCCTCTGGATCAAAGTGGAAGAACCAAACTACTACTTCAGCCCACCTTATTGTCACTTAGTGATGATTGATGAAATGTAAAAAGTGAGATATTAGCCGGCGTCAAAAATAGAAATTAATGAAAAAAATAGACTAATGATAAGTCATGTCAAAAAGCTAAGTAAAATCTTCTCCATGCTCAATCACAAACGATTTGTGTTCTTAAAATAAGGTGCCCGTTTTTATCACTTGCAAAAAAAAGAAAATACACATTATGTTAAACAATGTTGCTATGAAGAGGGGAGGCTTCGAGTTATGGCTAATTTATTTAAACAAACACTTTGCGATGGAAGCACAAGGGTTGTGTAAATAAACTCATTTACATAAATATGTATTGGTGAAAAACCCCATGCATTTGTAATGCCCTTTTTAAATATTCTTCCCCGGTGAACAAGTACTTTGTTGAAAGAGTTAATGAATCTTAATTTTAAATATTCTTCCCCGGTAAACAAGTACATTTTGCTAATTAAGATTCATTAAATAGTTCAATTTTTTAATTTTATAGCAAGAGCAAACCCCTTACCTTTTTGTCTTATTTCTTTGCTTCTCACTAGCAAATAGACAGGAAGAACATTTCAATATTAACTGGTTTATAAATCAAAATTTATCTCAATAAATAAAGCTGGTCACCAAACCTTTAAAGAAGATCAAGTATATATAAGATCGGTATTATGAAATTTTTGAGCTATTAAGCTTGAATTTCAACTATTGATTAGTCCTCCAAACAAAACCTCTTCAAATTACCCAAAAACTAATATGAGACGTGTTCTCTTAGACTAGGTCCACCAGCACTCTCATGCCCTCATTATCATCTACGAGCATAGAAAAAAGTAGATATAAGAATATTATAGAGATCTTATAATGGTGTCGATTAGTGTATAAGGAATATTTTTTATGAAAATTATAAAAAGCTTAACGAAACTAGAGAGTTTTATTTTCATGCACTTTTAACAGTTTTAACGAACAGATTGGTAAATGGGGCATTAGAGATGATCTTGTAAGATTTCAACAGATAAACAATGCAAGCAGTTTGGAGCAACTCAAGGTAACCTTACAGCGTTCACATGGTGCCCATAGCAATGGAAAGCTTTGACAACATCATTAATCAAATTAATGTTGCCAGATTTCATAAATGATGCAGCAAATTTCTCCAAAGATCGGGTAGATATCATCTCCATGTTATCCTGTTCATGAAAAAAAACTGTAACTAAATAAAACTTTTATAATCAATTAATAAATGGGACCAAAAATCACAATACCTTCACTATTACGTAAGCATCTTTCAGGTGACCTGCTTCAACTAATATGTTTAGCATTGTCTCATGAAGGGATTTGCGCACGTTTCTACTGCTGAATCTCAACATATTGTATACAGAAAATGATTCAGAAGGAAAACCAGCTTTAGCCAACTGTAAAATAAGAGATAGGCAAAGGCCCTGCAAGTATAAGGAAATGTCAAAGTGGCCATAGAGCAGAAATAAAGAAAAGAGTCATTTTTCCGGGACTAGAATGCATAAAAGTTCAAAGCAGAAGCCAGAAACAATAAGGCATCAAATTTCCAGGGTATCGAATCATATTACTATTATGCAACTGAAAATTGAAATCACAAAAACAAATGTATTACGATGGTAAGAAAGAGGAATCTGATTTTTATGTTAATATTTTATATTTCTAATGTGTCTTCTTCAATAAAGAACTTGAAAGTTTGAAAATTTTTACCAAGATATCAGACTTCACTTATTTAATTTGAAGCAGGATATTAAAGAAAACTGGTAATGTCAAAACACTACTTCGAATGCTCAAATTCCTTTTTCCTGTTGAAGTTAGAAATGATAAAATGTAGTTCTAAAAACTATTTTTGTGTTCTTATCAGCAATATCTGGTATGTTGAATAAATTTACATCAAATTAAGGGGCTAACATGAGATTTATTACTAAGCTGCTAAAGATAAAAAAAGTAATGATGATTGAAAAACCCTAACAGATTCTTTGTCAAAGTAAAAATTTTAGCACAAATTTTTGGAGACAGTTACCTCATTTAACTTGTGCCCTTTGCTGTGCATGTCTTCAACACTTCGATAAGCAAGATGAAATAGTTTCTCTCTAGCAAAATACTTGATTAAGATATGGAATGTATTCCAATCAGGTGATATTGCACATTCATCCATTTTTCTGAGCATTTTCATCACCCTATCTCTGTCTCCAACATTACAGTAAGCCCTTAACAGGGTATTTAGCATAACAAGATCATATTTTTCAAAATTTTCCTCAAAGTCCTTAGCAAATTGCCTTGCTTCTCGCAGCAACCCACCTCGACAAAATGCAGAAATCATGATACTGTGGGCAAAGCCGTCTGCAGAAACAAGAAGAAAATCCAGTCATCCTATATATTATCAGAATAGTGTTTATAAGAGAGATATTTGCTACTCCCTTTCTATCCATCTTTTTAGGGGGAATTAAATTGATTGAGAGATGCATGGGTGTTTCCAAGCAAGATTCAGGTTACTAATGCTCAAAAATATAATGTGATTCAAGAATAGTGCATCAATTTAGCAGGTTGTCTCCAAGCAAAAATATTGTCCTTTTGAGATCAAGAAAGCATTAATTTGAATCGAGAAAAGTGTCAAAATAGTCCCCTTACTATTGACATGGGGTCATTTTAATCCCAAAATTTATAAAAATACTAAATTAATCCCCAAACTCTTTTAATGAGAGCGAAAGTAGTCCTCACTAGATATTATTTCAACCCATATCAAAAGAATGAGGACTAGATTGCTACTTTTATAAACACTAGGACAAAATTGACCCCTGCAAAGAACTAGGGAAACCTTTTGATATTTTTCTATTTCAAATCTAAAAATAATCTATCTACAATATAGTTGTAAAACTGTGTACATAAATCCCTCCCCTTTCCTACAATGGTTGGAACATCATTTGTCTGCACATTCTTAAATCCACTTAATATTTTTCATATTACCAATTATTAAAAAGAGATTTAAACATTCAAAAAGAAGGATAAAACGGGATGGAGAATGCAAGGATGCCATAAGGTCATTAAACTTAAGAGATAATTACATACATAGCACCCAAAACATTGCTATTTACAAAATCTAGCACCAAGGTGATATTTTTGAACTACCTAACCAATGTATTTGTGCATGCCACGATCAAACCATTGAGAATTTATAAAGCTAAAAGTAAACAAATAAGATGAGTGAATGGGCCTATTACGACTAGATTAAATGTCAGCTAAGATAAAATACTATGAACAATCAAAAAAAAGTCCACGCACTCAAAACATAAATTTTCGTCAAGAAAACAAGATGCTGACAACAATAACAAATGCTAAAATTCAATACAAATCATGTAATAGAACTAATATTTGATCCCCTAAAGCTACCATCTGGAATGCACAGTAGAAAATTTCCCTTTTACTAATTAAATAGAAAAGTATATCAAGACGTGTCTTTCAGCATAAGATCATCATTTTGACATGATATGAAAATGAATCACTTCATGCAATAACACAACAATTTAGCATAAAGAATAAATCAATTTTTTTTTTCTCTCAATTAAACAAATCAAATTTAGAATATCCGTAAAACAAAAAAAGTTTCATGCATCAATGTAGCAATTTCATTGATGGCGGCGAGCTCTGTTAAGGTTTCGCCCGATGGCGAAACCCAGCGTTAACCTCCGGCTTTCACTCCATCGTCTTCGTGCTTTTGTGGCTACTGTCTTGTCGGCTTCGCATACAATCTCGATCGCTGCTAACCGAGCCTTCTTCTTCCTCGGTCGTCTTCTCTGGACAGCTACGACAGCGCCTCGGGTTGCAGCACTTCGTCGTCGGCTGCGTCGTCGCACGCCGTCGCTGCTTCGTGGAACGTCGTCGCACGCCGTCGCTGCTTCTCGTCGTCTACATCGACTGCCTTCATCCTCAGACAGCTACGACAGCGCCTCGGGTTGCAGCAGCTTCATCGTGGTCTGCATCGTCGCACATCCTCGCTGCTTCGTCGCACACCGTCGCTTCTTCGTCGCACGCCCTCGCTGCTTCTCGTCGTATGCGTCGAGTGCCTTTGTCCTCGGTCGCAGATGGCCTGCCTGCTCAGCGACAGAGCTTCGTTTTCCTCCTAGGTTTTTTCTCATGCAGTGAAACACCGGCCAAGGTGATGGTCTCAGAGGTTCTTTCTTATGTCGCCGCCCTTGCCGGTGATAACCCTGCTCCCGCCTATCTTTCGAATATGTTTCTGCAACGTTACCACGATACTTTTGCTCTTGGGGTTTAAACCGGGTTTCTCAAAAAAACATCCCGTAAAAATGGAAAACTGTAAAAACGACAAACCTGCAATCTTTCTCATTGAGGCAGAGATCTCCACCCTAGCTGTGCGTGCCCTGCCGACTGTTCTTAGTAGGTAAGTTTCTTTATAAAAACCCTAAACTTGAGCTAATTCGAAAGGATTTTGAACAAAGAAGATTGGTAAATTGGATGGTCGGCACATTCTCATCCAATTATCAAATGATGAAGACTACGTCCATTTGTTTGCAAGAAGACTCTTTCGAATAGACAACCAGGTGATGAAGGTTTTAAAATGGACTGTGGATTTTGACCCTCGTACTGAACCTCCTATCATTCCTGTTTCGCTGCGCTTCCCAGGTTTGAAGGTCCACCTTTACGATCAAGAGCTCATCTTCGCTTTAGCGATGGTATACGGTAAACCTCTCAAAACTAATATGCCTACATTGAATCTAACTTGGCCTTCTGAAGCTAGAAATTTAATAAAACGAGATATTACTTTACCTTTTCCGGGAGAGATATAGATTGACACACAGCATCAGGGATTTTGGAAACAAATAGAACTTGAACAGATACCTCTTTATTGCACCCACTGTCATATGTTTGGACACTCTCTTTCTTAATGTTATCATTTGCATCCGAATTTAAAACCTCCAAGTAAAAATGCTACTAGATCTGCCCCACTTCATGTTTGTCCCTCTTCCGCTCCCGAGTGCATTCCACAGACTATTGAAACACTGGTTGACACGATGCCACCTCTCCCTCCCACTATCGGAGACAATACTATTTCTGTTCTTCCGATTGATGTATTGGCAGATGGTTCACTTGGGCATCTTACAGTCTCTATCACTGTTGAAAACAATACTGCAGGATCCTTACCTCCAAAGGATATTCTTCGGTCTGATAATCAGGATAGTATTGCAGCTCCACATCCTCAGGAAGCATCAGGTACTGAGGAGACATGTTTACCATCTCTTCAAAATGAGAATGTTGTTACTGATAGTAAGGAGCTAGGGGCTCATCCTCTTCTACATGCCCGACAATTTGTTGATCACACTGATCAGATGAGTCAGTCTTCCCGGATGAGGAATGACAAGTATATACATCTAGGAAGAAAAAGAAGAATGGAGGCACACCCCCGCTTGGGAACTTAATGGATGATACTTTAGTAACTTCGGGCAATGGCACGACACTCAGCAATTTGTTAGCCGGCTCTGTTCCTAGAACCAGAGGCAGAGGCAGGACTAAGCTGGCTCGTCCCTAGCAAGTTGTTCTCTGCGAGTTTTGAATTTTAGAGTTTTATCTATGTCTTATCTTTTTTAGGATGTTAGTGTCTGTGTATTGTATGGGTAGGGCGTCTTTATTGGGTCCTCTCATACAACCTTTATGTACCTTTTCAATTTCAATAAAATTCGCTCTTGGGCGTTTCAAATATATATATATATATTGTTCAGCTAATTGGAATTCAAATCCATTGATTTCACAATGAAGTTGGTTATGTAAGTGTAAATACAAACAATAGATTGGAAAAGAAAAAATAGAAATAATACTCTCAACTAACATGATATATTACATAATAAATGCATAATATTTACTAACTACTTTCCAACATGATAACAATCTGTATGATAAAGCTAGAGAACATATGCCATGATCCTGTATGGTAAAGAGATTAGATTATCAAAGTGATCATAGAACCTTGGTAAAATATTAGCCAGTTGCTCTTTATTGCAGATGAGGAGAAGTAATCCTCTTTAATAGAGGTGCATAGCTGATGAAATGCAATCTGCTTTAATATATCAGCAAGTTGTTCAATAGCTGCATAGCAAGATGTATATTAGGCTGACTATTACACTTGAGACTAATGATGAAGTGACGAGAAGTCAAACCCTTCAAACGCAGCCTTCTATTCAACTTCTCTACAATATCTAGCAACAACAGTCTGCATTTTGCGTCATAAACAAAAGCTTCTCTTACAAAAGCAAAATATCCTAAAATAGGTTTTTAAATTTTAATAGATCTAGTAAAGTCAGCTTCCAAGTAAGCTCCAATGTCTAAATATTGTTTTATTTATAAAAAACTTCCCTTTTTCTAGGACACTTAATATTATTTCTTAAAATCCTTAAGATAACATCCCAATTTTTCTTTTTATACATATGATAATTTACCGCATCAACAACCAAGGAAATTAAGCCTATCCAGAAAATAATAATGAAGGATATCTCTAATCTTTGCTCATCATTAAAAGTCTATAAAGTATCCATAGGACAGTCGGTAGATTTGCAACCATAGCCAGAACACTAAGTTTGCAATATTCAAACTCAACACAAAAAAATTACTTTGGATGTTGCAATTTTTTACTAACAAATACCTTTTAAAAATGTTGTTTAATTTTTCAATGCGTAATATAATTTTTAGGAATAAAGGTCAACATATACCACAAGTATCATCATCCCAAAGCGATCATTTGTGCAACTTTGAAGACCAACATCAAAAAGGATCTCAAAGAACTTAACTAAACCACGCACAAGTAATTTGTTTTGCTGCACAAAGGTTTTTTGAAGCTTATAGATTTTAACCACTTAGGCAACATATGCAAGTTTGTTCCATAAAAATTATTTTAAGAGACGTGAGAAAGTAATTGACAACATCCAATTAGAATTACCAATTAAATAATCGCCACAAAGCCAGGTTGAACAGAGTTAAGCTAAGCAACAGAGTAGAAGATCTCAAAATAGTCAATACCATGACATTTCTTTATCCTTTAGCCACTAATCGAGTCTGACAATTCAGTATGGATGAAACATGGTCATGAAAACTTGCTGAGAATAAGTAGATATGACAATGGAAGTGGAGAAATCATATCCAAGTACGGTAACCAAGAAGAGCCTCCATTTCAATATTCATTACATTTTCCAATAAAGATCCAATTGTGCTTCTTAACATTATATAAGAATAGAAATAATAGTGAAGAATAAGACAACAACAAAGAAAAGATGATCGAGTTAAAAGATTGTACCGGGTGGTAACTACAATCGTGTATAACTTTTAGAGTGCAATTGAGAGATGGATCTCTTAGTTTCTTGTCTAGATGTGATACTGTCGGCCGTTTTAATCTTGGTTTTGAAAAATATAGGAAAAATATGAAAATAGTTTTGATATGAATATGATTTTTTAAAGTAATATTTTGATTTAAAAATAAGTGAGACCAAACGAGTTTCACATTTTGAATAGTTTGGGTGACTAAGCACGATATCACAAGTAATACACTTATCCCAAAGAATAAACATATCACCTGTAGTAGACTCAATCACCTAAACTAAAGAATTTGTGACATCCGTTTGGTCTGCGAAATATTTTATATGAGGCCAACAAGTTCCCTTATCTAATACGAGGATTAGATAGGGTTTATTTTACCTGGGTTTCAAGTTCCCTATAGCGGCAAGCCCCTATAGTTAATTACATCTTAAATTACTGGGGTCATTTAAGAAAACTCTCGATTAAGATCAGTGGTTTTGCCTTCAAGATTTCAAAGTTTAAGTTTCCAAGATCGGACATGGGAAAATCAAATGGGAATAGTTCAAAATAAGAACAGTTATTTTAAGGAATTTAAAGGAATGAATAATAGGAGACATCACAGATCCAAGAGAAACCCCGATGATATCCCAATTATCCTAATGTTCAGCTTTATGTCTTTGAAGTGATGTTGTTTAATGTTTAATCTTGCATGTTTAATCTTTGCAATTTATTTAGAATTCAGGACTTATATTCGCACGATATCTGATCGTGCAAATAGCCTAAAAAGATAGGAAGATTTACATTGTACCGTACAGTAACCTCGGAATCCTAAAGCGCTGGGACTTATAATTGTACAACGGTGTTGTACCAAAAAGCCTAAAGGATATGTGAGGGTCTACATTGTGCTAGGCAAACCACCTCGAAGTCTTACGGGTTGTTATTTAAACTAAGGAAAGTGTTCAGTGATGTAAAATTGTTTTGATGTTAATAATCCACCTTGAAATTGCACTTCTCGTCATGCTGCCCATGGTGCTCGCTCCAAGCTCCATGTCGCTGCGTCTCCGGGTTTTATGTTTTATTTATTCTACAGGCCTATGCAACTACAGGTTTTCCTAGGGCTTGAGGTCCTATTGGGAACTTCTCCTTGAGTCTTCACACAATAGCCCTTAACCGCTCGCACATAAGACGATGATTTTGAGACCATAAATGCTAGACATCACAGGAAAATAGGAAGTTTTTTAAAATTTCTAAAATGGTGGGTACCAATTTCTAGTTTTCTAGGATAGTCAATAGAACCCCTATAACTAGATCCTAGGATTCTAAGGAAAGGAGTAATGACCTCAAAAATGAGGTCAACAGATACTTAAAGCATCATTGGGAGGAGACTATAGTAGAGGATGAGATATTTCATAGAAGGTAACATCGACAAACATATAAAAGCAATTGGTAGAAATATCGTAAAAATAATAATCATTTTGAGTGCGAGCATAGTTAGGAAACATATACAATGATTTCAAAATTTATCACGTTCAAAATAAATAAATAAATACATACAGTCTAAGATAGAATTAGTTGTTGGAAAAATAAATTCATGTGAATAGAAAAAAAAACAGAACAACTTTATTTAGACTAGTAGAATATATGGTTGATTAAGAAGCATGTTGTTAAAATATCATCTCCCAAAAATGGTTGTGGAGCATTCACGTAAAAGTAGCAACATTAAAAAGATGTTGGTGTTTAAGTTCATTTGGCCATTTATTTGGGAAGTGTAAGAACAGTAAGAATGATTGCTAACGTCATTTTCAGCATAAAAAGAACAAAAAACAATTGTATAAATCTAAATCATCATCAAAAGGGAATTTTGAATTCATATACCTCATAATCCTAGAAATTGTTCAAATATGTATCTCATATGATTTTTTGAAAAAATATGACAAAGTTTGTTTTGAACAAAATTACCGCTGAAACATACAAATAAGAATCAGAACCCGGGGCACATAAACTTTCAAATAAGGGAGCTCTTTGATCAATTTGCCTTGCCAGCACTTTCTCCATCTATGATGGTCTCAAAGCTCATGAAGCTTTACAGCGACAATCCTGGCTTCGCAAGCCTCACTTAATCACGGTCAGTGATGTGCATTCAGTCATTCAGGTTTGAATACATCTCTCGCATTTTAAACCATAACCTAGAATGACATTGAGCATAATGTTACCTTTTAAAAAGATGTTTGAACCTTGTTCGAGCCATGTTTGAACTTTCAAGCAATTTGCATAATGCTCAAACAAGATTTGAATAAGGTTTTAATATAAGAATAAAGTTCAAGCAAAATTTGAACAATTTTAGAAAAGATTTAAACACTATCTAAATGAGGTTCTAATAAGAACCTAAGAAGGCCCAAACTATATTGTTACTCAAATTATCTTATAAAGTATTGACTCACTTGATTTGCAGTGTTATTTATGCAAATTTTCCCACTACTCGTACATGTAGGAAGGCATTACAGTGTCCTGATCAAATATAGTGTTTGGGGTGTGATGAAGAAAATCGATGGACAATTTAAGGATCTGTTTGGCGCAGCTGCAACTTCTCAGTTTTTTAGCTGCAGCTGCGTTGCCCTAAAAAACTGGTGCGGGGAAGTTATCTGTCTGTTTGGTGCAGCTGTGTGAAAATAGTTGTGAGGCAGTTGTTTCTGGAGAAATGACCATGTTGCCCCTGTTTGTTAAAACTGTTGAAAAATTGTTATGTATTTATATGAAAATGTTTAATATATGTAAATATACAAAATTAATAATTGTTGTGAAATAAATTTAAGTTATTGGTACGTATATGTATATAATTGATTAATATATGTAAAAAATTTAAATTAATATATGTAAAAAAATTAAATGTTTAATTGCGAAACTTAACAAGTTCTTTGATGTCGAAGCAAATTTTCTACCCTCACAGAGAGATCAAATTCTCCATTTCTTAAAGAACAAAATCATGCTCCATGTTCAAGAACTGTAAATAGTATGAGATAAAACATTGGCCTCAAATAAATTAACGAAGACGAAGTACCTCAAAGAAACCCCCACCAAATCCAAATAAACCCTTCCTCCCCAAAGAAACCAGGAACAATTCACTGTGCTTTGCTGCAGTACCCCAAAGAAACCCCTACAAAATCCAAGCTACACAGCAAGAAAACCTTCCTATTTGTAATTCACTACAAAAAAGACAGACATCATGACTGCAGAGAAACACCAACAGAGCAACATCAAAAACAAACGCAATACTACCCAAAGGAAACCACAAGCACATCATATCATAGAAACAGATCTAACAGGGAAGGGTCAAAATTTCTTACCCTTTTTGTGACAAGATGACGAAAATAGGAGAAGACAAGGACAAGGAGAAGACGAGGAAGATGAGCAGGAACCATCACCGACCGGAAGAGGAGGGAAAGGGAGAAGATCGTGGGAAATCCAACTGCGCGTTAGGGTTGGGCACGGGGGTAAAAGCCGCGGCAACGAAGCTGGGTCGCGGCTATAACCTGGCTTTTCGCTTTCGAGTGATACCGCGGGAAGCTGCGGGGGCGCTGCCAAAGCAAACGACAAAAAAAAAAAATTAAACTCGGCGCTGTGTCGCGCCGCATCCAAGCCGCCTGCCCAAACAGAGCCTAAGGCTTTTGTACTAATTGAAAATGTAAAAAAAAATCCTCAAATGGGCAGCTATTTAAAACTCCTGAACTATAATTCTATAAGGCAAATAATTCATCAATTGTTGTTGAGGATGGTTGCTTGAAAAGATTGAGAAATATCTTATTATGCTCTGATCATAGTTTGGGCTTTGGAAAATATATATCCAATGATGAATTTAAGAAGATGAACATTGGAGCAGATCATTAGATAACTACATCAACAGAGATAAAACTTTAATAATGCAAACCTGGAGAAAGCATTCATAGAATGCCCAAAGAAGAATGATGTACGTAAATTAGACTTATGTTATCTTAGATATAGTGTTCCCTGAACAATGATACATGAAGAATTGTTTTTAATAAGATGCTGGCCTTGGTTAAAGATGAGGGCATTTTATTTAGATATCCATGGGATAGGCAAGCTATCGAGGAAAAGGGATATGAGAAAGATGAAAGTATTGCTGCACTACCAAGTTAGACGGAAACATCCTAAAATGCAAGGGCCCAATGCATTTTGCAGTTTAATTTTTCAGCATTTTTGTAAAGGACAAGTATAATGCAAAATAATAACCTCTACTTCCTATTTTGGTTTTATCACTCGCAAGAAAGTAATTTTCACTTTTTTTTTCCAATATCAGTTAATTAGAATTGATGCACAGCAACAAGACGGATGTAATTAAATAAAATAAAATATCTTGGACAATTATCAACAACTAATTCAAATAAATAATAATAATCACCTGATTTCACTTTATTTTCTTTCATCTTTCTAAATACTTCCCTTGCATCTTCCATTCGCCCAGCCTTTGCAAGGTTGTCCATTAATAAACAGTAAGGCATCTACAAGGGAGGGAAGGAAAAGTAGAAATTAAACATCGTACACCCAAAGAAGAAAATTGAAATGTTCCATAAAATATGTTCTAAATAAAGTAGCAAAAATTTAACAAGGAAGGATGGCCAAATATCATGAAGAAGTTTAAGAAAATGACAGAAAAGAAGTACAACACGCTGCAATTTAAGAACAAGTAGGATCGGTTGTAGATATACGGGAAATTATGGAAGGAAATAAAAAGGAAATCCACGGCCTTGGATTGGGATCCAATCAAACGGACTATTGATGTTTCGAAAGAATGGTGGACTGAAAAACAAGAGGTAACAAAATTTAATCACACTAAAGACTTTTTTTCAGTAATGTCTCATACTGAACTGTTCATATTGCTGGTAGTATCGGCCACCAAGAAATTCAATTTCTATGGAATTCGCCCATATTTAGAAGAGAGGTTGGACCTTATCTTCAGTGGGGTTGTGGCAACAGGAACTCACGCCTTTAACCCAAGTGAGCATGGGATTGTCAGCATACCAGAGGAGTTGGAGGCCAAACAGGTAAGTGACTCAGGTAAAGGCCCAAGCCCAAACCAAAATGAACTGGAGCCCACCTGCGGGTCAAAGCTTCCTAGGGTGGAGAAAAAGAAAAAAGAAGCTACTTTCATCATAACCCAAATAATAAAACTGGTGGATGCATGCATGAGTCAAGCGTAATTCACATGAAACCTCCATAGACGACTTTCTCCGAGTTATGAAGGCAGCTGCCGATATTTATGGGGACATATCGTTATATTTGAACTCCTTGACGTTGCTAGAGGACCCAATTAGTAGATAAATCTTCATGAAGATGCCCCCTGACCATAAGGTCAGTTATTTATGTTATTTTTTTAATAGCAGGGACACTTGATTTTGTGGAGTTATTGTTCTACCGCTTTGGTTTTTTTTCCAGTTGTTTCATTTGATATCTAATTTGTTTGAGTTTTCTTTCTAGTAAAAACAACCTAAATGTTATTCTGTATTTACGTCTTCTCATTGCACTGTCTTTAGATTTTATATGTTTTTTAAAGTTGTCTAATTCACTAACATTACCTAAACAGAGCAGTTATTCAGTATGGACTCACAAAGAGAGGCAAAGAAGAAAAATTGCGACAGCAGTAAGTTATATGAATACTACAAATCATACATCGATCAACCTCTCTGCATGACATCCACTTATATTGGTGATAAATGTGTTGGTGAGCTGCTACAAGGACACCCGATAAAATTCAGTAACATGTTTCTTATGAGAGTCTATCTTTATGGATTTGCATGATGAACTGCATAACCATCATGGACTCCAAGGCCCATCACGAATGTCAATAAGAGATGTATTAGCAATAACCCTCTATATTTTACCACATAATGAATCAATGAGAAGAGCAATGAGTGATTTTAGCATTCATTAAAGACAATCAGCAAATATTTCTCAGTGGGGTTGAAAGTTTTTGTTAATTTTTCAGCACATATTATTAAGTCAGAGGATCCAACATTCGAGAGGACTCCAACAAAGATTGTAAATGACCAACGGTATATGTCATTTTTTAAAATAAATCTTTTATAGCACATTATGTTCATAAGTCAAAATGATTAGCGTGGTTATCACAACTTTATTTAATTTTTCAGAACTCTATTGTATCGATTGACGGAACCTATGTAGATACACGTGTATCCAATAAAGAAAAGGTCGCATACATTGAATGGTGTGGATCAACCACAAAAAATATGGTAGTCATATGTGACTTCATGTGTTTTAATTTTGTGATGGCTGGGTCAGAAGACAGTGCACACGATAGTGATATTTATCCTTTTGCGACAAGAAATTGAAACCATAGGTTTCCTCACCCACTTCCAGGTATGTTCAAACAATAATCATTTTTTTTTGTTTTTAAATTCATTAATAATTTTTGTATTTGGGATGGAGAAATATTTTTTGGTCAATGCTGGATATCCCTTACAAAGGGAGCATCTGAGCCATTTTCGGATATGAAATATCGCATTCCTAATTTTAAAAGATTCAGTGATGTTGCTCAGGGCATGAAGGAAATGTTTAACCAAAAGACGCTTCCCTTTACGAGGTGTAATTGAAAGAATATTTAGAGTTTGAAAGATAAAATGGGTCATACTGTGTGATATGCAGACATATCCATTTCTGAAGCAGGTGTAATTTATAGTGGCCAAAATGGCTCTGCACAATTACATTCAACGGCAACATACTCAAATTGATGTAGACTTTAGTACGGCTGATGATGCTCGTTTACAAGTCCCGGAAGAAACATTTGAATATCACATATGACAATCTATACAACAGTCAGAAGTGGAATCACAGGAAGGCTACACCCAGGATGGCAAAGGTACCTCAAAAATGGTTGGATTGAGAGAAAGGATTACAGATGTCATTGTTGGATATTAGACAATCCTTGTATATTTTATTTAGCTCATTTTTTCTATTTTTAGTTCCTTGTATTATTAATATTATTTTATGTTCATATATATCATAAAGGTCATGGTTGATATTTTTTATTTTGGATTTTTTTACACTTTTTGTAGTTTTTTTTTCTTTTTCTTTTTTCCATTTCATTGGTTTGCTAGTGGCTGGAAGATTGGTATCACATGTGAAATCCTGATGAGGTCAACCAAATATCCCTTCTCTTTTCGATATAGCAGCTTTTGAGATACTTCTGAATTGTCATTTTTTGTGATATGCATATGTAACACACATGAGTTTGGTATTACATGCGTTGAAGGCAACCAAGAACCCCTATTTTATATGGTTTGTTGTTTCCTTATAGTGAGAGATAAGTTGATTGGTGTACAAAGTTCTCTAAAACCTCGTGCCCGCACAAAACTGTAATTGGTTACACTTTTTATGAATTTATATTTCTGTTATGACTAATGAATTGTCTATTGAAGCATTCAGAAAAGAATAGCTCTAGGATTTCAAAGACCTCCCGATGATTGTTTTGCTATTGCAAACTTCAGACTTCCTTGCTGACGTCACGTCAGCCAGATAACTGCGGGAGATAGTTCTACAGGTGCCCGCGGCAAATCATAACGAACTGTGACTTCTTCAGATGGGCAGATAAATTTGAATAATCAATCGCCGAAAGTGACCACGTGTGCAGACTATCCCTGGAGAGTGACATAACTACTGACATATGCAACGTCCACTTTAAAATTAATATTATTGTATTATTAAATGTTATTTTAATAATCTTTTTTAATTAGAATAATCATGATATTAATTGTTAAGTGAGGTGTATATCTTATTTTTTGTACTATTGCTTCTCAAGTTGGCCAGACGGTTTGTAAAAGAAATTATCAGGATTACATAAACATCCAACAAAGATGAAAGATTCACGTCTAGGTTGTGAAAAGTTAATCAGTAAGGTTTGAATACACAGTTGCATTTTAGCACAACATTTCATTCACAATCCGACAGATAATTAGAAGGAACAATTCAAGTATTGGAGGATTTGTTGCAGTTTTGCGTTCTCAACTTTGGAGGCAATTAGGAAGATCATATTCCAATGATCGAGTTAGCTTACAACAATAGCTATCAGTCTAGTATCAAAATGACTCCTTATGAAGCATTATATGGCAGGAAATGTGAAACTCTATTAAGTTGGAGCAAAGTGAATGAAAGTGAAATGTTAAGTACTGAGTTTGTTTATGAATTTACAAAGAAAATCAGACTAATTAGAGATAGATTAAAAGCGGCTCAGGATCGACAGCAGAAATACTATGACCCTAACCACAAAATAGTCAAATTTGAAGTTGAAGATTTCGTAATTTTTAAAGTCAAACCAAAAAATGATACAGTTAAATTTGGTCAAGGCAACAAGTTGAGTTTCAGATAAATCGATCCTTTTGAAATTATAAAAAGGATCGGTCTAGTTGCCTACAGATTAGCATTACCTGCAGATATATCAGATATTCACGATGTAATTCACACAAGGTTGTGAAAACCAGACTGGACATTGAACCAGTAAAAGGAGAGGTTCAAGGTTCAGAGGTTGAACCGGGGTTAAACTGGAAGTTCAACCAGATAACATAATGAATCATAAATATGTTTAAAACCCGACAATAAATAAGATTTACATACCAATCAATTCATATGTATTTACATAATTGAAACCTAAAATTCAGTTTTAAACAAGTGTCATTTTACCTATGCATGAAAACATGTATTTTAGTTTTTAAAAATTAAAATGGTGATAAGTATAAGTTTGGTGGTATAAATGTAAAATAATCAGAATTCATGTGTTAGATATATAAATAAATAAAATTAAGTAGCAAGTATGTAAATTGAATTAGTTTGTAATAATGATTTTTTAATGCGATATGAGTGATTTAGGTGGTATAAATGTAAAAAAATAAAGTTTAAATGTTAGATATTATATTAACGTAAGAAAAATAATCTTCTATAGGTTTTTATATGATTTCTTATTTGACACGGATGCATTTAAACATTTTTATATATTATGGATAACTATTTGCAATGATATATGAATGTAAGTTAATTTCTTCCTACAATACATGTAAAGTTATTATATTACGATCATGTTATGATACATATGACTATACTTATGATAAGAATTGGCTGCAATTATTCATTTGATATGATTCATATATGCGATATATGAAATGCCTATGAATGTTTGTTACAGATATTATGTTTTAAAAAATATTACACTGAATGTTATGTGTAGACTATTACATGAGTACTTGCAATTAAGCAATGCAGGGATGTGGTATTTTCTACTCTTGATATTCATGCAGTGACAACTCTAGAAAGCATTGAAATCAGATGGTGATAGAGTGTAGACAACCGTTGGTATCATGAGGGCTTTCAATAACTGTTATGTTAGGAAAGCTCAACTTTTATCGATAGTTTATATAACCTTTGGGGCAGAGTGGTGGTCCATGATATGACAAGATATAAAAATAGTTGAAGTACATACATTTATAGGTGACACTATGAAATAACATCTATTAAATGACATTGGTATGATTACTTACGATAAACAAATTATGAATATATTTTTTATTATACTTATGATTTCATGTTTATGACATGCTTATACAGCGATCTTGATTTCTATACAACCTGCCTTTCTTTTCATGTCTACATAGTTCTAGTATATTATGACGTATGTAGACATGAAAAGTTACATATGAATATACATGTTTCTTTTTCATATATAAAATCTTATTTTAGTCTTGATTATTTCATTAAGCTAATTGTTGCTCAGTCTACGTTATCTTTTAGAAAGGGGCAACGAGCATCAAAGAGAGTAGCCAGCTGTGACTTGTACAACTTTTGATCGACATAGTTTTGGGGATACTGTAAAGACTTTTGAGTATGTATTTTACTTATGTTAGATTTCGCAGCTCTGTATAGTTTTCATGTTTTGAGGTTATGATTTTCCACGCTTCTAAGTATGAATATGAATGAATTATGAAATGCAAAATAGTGCGTATGTTGCGATAATTTAGTTAAACTAGTTCAACACCCACTGGGTCATAATTTTATAAATCATTACTAGAATTTAGCAAAAAAGAAGTTGAGGAGGCTTTAAAGAAAACCAAGGGTGGAAAGTCTGTCGGACCTGATGATATCCCAATTGAAGTGTGGAAATATTTGGGAGATTTGGGAGTTTCTTGGCTTACTAAACTTTAATATTATTTTAAAAACTAAAAAGATGCCTGAGGAGTGGAGGAAGAGTATTTTGATCCTCATTTTTAAGAATAAAGGGGATGCACAAGAGTGTGCAAATTATAGAGGAATTAAGTTGATGTGTCATACTTTAAAATTATGGGAGAGGGTAATTGAACATAGGTTAAGACGCATCACAAAAATTTCTCATAATCAATTTGGATTTATGCCTGGCAGGTCTACTATGGAAGCTATACATTTATTGAGAGGTTTGATGGAGAAGTTCAGAGATAATAAGAAGAATCTACATTTAGTTTTTATTGATTTAGAAAAAGCTTACGGCAAGATTCCAAGAGATATCCTTTGGAGAGTTCTCGAGAAGAAATGTGTTGATATGACTTATATTCAAGTCACTAAGGATATGTAGACTAGAGCTGTTACTTGTGTTCAAACTGAAGGAGGATTGACAAAATATTTTCCTATTTCTGTTGTGGATTACATCAGGGATCGGCTTTAAGCCCATATCTTTTTGTTTTAGTTATGGATGGTCTTACTGGACATCCACAGGAGGATGTACCTTGGTGTATGCTTTTTGCTGATGATATTCTTCTCGTGGATAAAACAAGAGAAAAAGCCCAAGAAAAACTTGAATTATGGAGGTCTACATTGGAGTCTAAAGGCCTTCGTTTAAGTAGAACTAAAACTGAATACATGGAATGTAATTTTAGTGGTAATAGCTCTAGTGACAGAAGTGTGACTTTGGGTGATCTAATTATTAAAAGGTGTGAACGATTTAGATATCTTGGGTCCGTTGTCCAAAGCGATGTTGATATAGATGGGGATGTTAATAGTAGAATTCAAGTTGGTTGGTTGAAGTGGAGGAATGCTTCGGGCCTTTTGTGTGATAGAAAAGTACCGCTTAGACTGAAAGGAAAATTTTATAAGATGGTGGTGAGACCTGCAATGCTCTATGGCGTTGAATGTTGGCCTTTAAAAGAGAAGCATAATAATAAGTTAAGTGTTGCCGAGATGAGAATGATTAGGTGGATGAGTGGCTTTACACTTAGAGACAAAATGCGGAATGAATATATTCGTGATAGGGTTGGTGTAGCTCCTGTGACAGACAAAATTAGAGAAAGTCGTCTTAGATGGTTTGGTCATATTAAACGTCGACCATTAGATGATCCAATTAGGAGAGTAGATGTTTTAAATTCGACTAGTGTTAAGAAAGGCGGAGGTAGACCTAGGAAGACTTGGGCTTATTGTATTAAAAATGATCTTAATTTACTAGAACTAAATGAAAATATGACACTAAATAGGATGCAAAGGAGAAAAAGGATTCATGTAGCTGACCCCACGTAGTGGGATTAAGGCTTTGTTGTTGTTGTTGTTGTTGATGACTAGAATTTAGTCTAACTGAATTTTTTACCTCTATCACACGTCAACCGACCCTTAATGGGTGGTCAGTTGGGGTGTCATAATAGCCACAAACATTGCAATTTTGCATAAAAACTGCTATAATTAAGAACATACATAGCACTACAACATGCGTAATAGATGTAAAGTAAAACTTTGTTTTCAACAAGCTTTCTAAGATGAAAGATAACTTCATATGCCTTTTGAGGAAATAGCTTAGTAGAATGATTTTAAAGATAATCACCGTTCATTGATCAAGAAATTTATGCCTTCCATTACATTCTTTTAACTCCGCATGAAATACATCACAAGAATATGAGAAAAATGTTTTATATGATTTTGATCATGTTGTGTTGATAGATAAAAAAAGTGCAGACTTTTTCAGAACTATGGAATTAGAATCAGGTTTGTAGGTAGCTAAATCTACAAAGCATGAGAATGCAAAGTCATACATAGTATGCCTACAAAAATATGCCAAGTTTCTGTATACCTCATCCTCAGCATAACCACGAGCCTCTAATTCCGCTAAGAGTTCACGTGACTTTTCAAAAAGACCACCTCTAGCGTAAACCTTTAATAAAGTGGTTAAAATAACCTGCACAAAAGTGTGAACATATATTTAGAAAGAGACAATAATTTGATAAATACATCCGTGGAACACATAGAAAGCAAAGCAACATGATAATTAACATCTTTGGAGCTTTTGCAGCCACAACATAAGCTTTCTAGCTAGGAAACACTTGCAACCTTTGATACCACAGCATTATGTCCCCGCACATCTGATTTCCAAAATTAGCGTGAAACCATGTTATAATTGAATTTTTATGGTCTCTACCAAAGCATGGAAGTTTAAGAAAATATTTAATGGAAGGTGAAAGTTCTCATCGATAGTGGCCAGTTTTACATGTCTGAGTCACCACAAACAACATTGACTGCACATAAGCCTAAAGAACAGACATGTTCGTGACCATGGACATAAGATACTGCTATTAAACCTACGCATTTTCCATTGTACAATTAACACCTATAAACAATCAACTCAATAAAAGTAATAGAAGTTATAAGAAAGTACATGATTATTAGTGATTTATGTTTCCAATGGACATCAAAGTGAATTCACCATTAATGAATCTTTCAAGGAAAATTAAGCATGGCTTTGAAAAAAATAATTGGAATTGCTCCAACAAAAAGGAGAGAGGGACAGATAGAAGAGAAAAAGTAATCGAGAGAGAAAAGGTGTTCACATCATGCGCTTTCTCTCTCTCTATCTTTCACTTTTGTTGCAAAACAAAATCTCGGGCGTGATACCTATCAAACATTTACTTTGGCTTTAAGACAAAGCTTTTAACAGTATCCTTATCCAAGAAGTGTGAACTCTCAATGACGGAATCAACCAAGAGGAGAGCATTGGGGTTCACATCAAATCAAAACTTCAAGGGCCCACTTACAATACTAAACAAACCAATAAACATTATCAATACAAGCAACAACAAACTAAGTGGGATCGGCTATGTGAATCCTTTTTCTCCCTTGTCCTATTGAGTGTCATATATTTTCATTTAATTCTTAATTCTTATAAATTAAGATCATATTTTATACAACATGCCCAAGTCTTTTTAGGTCTATCCCTACTTTTCTTAACACAAATCAAATCTAAAATATATACTCTCCTAATTGGATTATCAGATGATCGACATCAAATGTGATGAAATCATCCAAGGCGACTTTCTCTAACCTTGTCTACCACTAGAGCTAATCCAAGACTTCATGAATAGATGTGTTTTGCATTTTGTCTGAAGTGTAAAACCACTCATCCACCTGAGCACTCTCATCTCAACAACACTTAAGTTAATTTTATGTTTCTCTTTTACAAGCCAACATTTTGTGTCAAAAATCATTACAAGTTTTACCACCATGTAATAAACTTTTCATTTTGAGTTTGAGAAGTACTTATTGATCACGCAAATAAGCTCAATGCAATCCTTTGATTCAAACATCCAACTTGGATTATACTAAGAAGCCGTGATTTCAATACAAGCAAATTAAAAAGTTAAAAAATTGCATCCTACCATCTTAAGAAGTCGTGTTTTTAACTAAGGCGCAATCAGCTTATCAATTCCCATCTAAATGTCAACATAATAAAAAAAAGTTACCGCACAATTGACTTATCCTTAATTGTCGGTCGTTTTTTGGGGTTGGTCATATATATATATATTGAAAAATGTATTTTGATTTGAAAAATGAGACCGTGTGGATCTCATATATCTTAATAGTTTAAGTAACCGATCGCAACACTACAAGCAATACACTTATCCCAAAAAATAGTCACATTACTTGACAGCGAACTCTATTAAATGAACTAAAAAGGTTATGACATATGTTTGGTCTGCAAACATTTTATGTGTGAAGACAAGTTTCTCTACCTAATATAAATATTATATAGGTTTATATTACCTGTGTTTATTTAGTTCCCTATAGAAGAAAATCCCTATAGTTAATTACAGCTTAAATGACCGAAGCCAGTTAAAAAAACTCTCGATAATAATCAGAGATCTTTGTCTTCAAAAATTCAACGTTTATGTTTTCAAGATTGGATACAGGGAAAATCAAGTGGGAAACGATCAAATAGAAACAGTTATTTTAGGAGTTATTGGAGCGAAAGGAAGGGGATGTCACGGGTTCTAAGAAGAACCTCGGTGACTTCCCAAACATCATATTATTTGGCTTCAATTTTGAAGATGATATTATTTGATGTTTCAATTTTGCCAATTTATTATTTAGAATTTATATTTGCATGATATTCGATAATGCAAATAGCTTGAAAGATAAGAGAATTTATTTCGTATCAAACGACGACATTGAAATCCTAAGAGAGTTAGGGCTTATATTGCACAACATGGTTGTGCAAAAACCTAAAAATAGTGTGAGGATTTACACCGTGCTAGACAAACTACCTCAAAGTCTTATGGATTGGTTATTTAAGTCTAAGGAATGATTTTGTTGATGTAGATCTTGATTCGTCGGCGGGAGTCTTTGTCATTCACTTGCATACTTGTCGCGACGGCTCCAGGTTTAGGGTTGTGTAAACATGCAATTAATGTTAGGTCTCGTGACTTGTCGCGGTGTACGTCCTAGATAACCAGTCTATTGTTCTCTTATTCTAACAGGTATTACTAGTATGTAGAACACACAAGAACAAAAGAACAGTAAAGCGCGGTAAAGTGCAGTAAAATGCGGTAAATGTAAAAAATAAACTTGCATACCTGGGCCTCTGCTAGTGTTGCAAGAATTGTCAGCACAAAAAATAGAGTATAACATGTAGAAAATTTAAATAATTTGCAAAGAATCCGGTGTTGTGAAAACAAAACAGGTCACAAGAAAAACATGAACGAATAAAACAAAACATGTCGTAAGAGAACACGGATGAATAAAACAAAACTCAATGTTACAAATAGAAGATCGAGTCTGGGTACAAGAATTTAAGTTCGAAGTGAGCTCAGAGCTGGGATGTGTGCTTTAAAATCCAAACTTGAATAGAAGCTATCAACCAAGCAATCTAAGAAGGGCAACTCCTGACCTTAATCAAAGTGATTAACAAGTGAACAGTTATAGTAGAACATTCAAAATTCTTTAATTTTTCAAACATGTAGAGCTTACTTAACAGACAAAACTAATAGAGTCATGAGAAAAGCACATGTTTTTTTTTTTTGTTATGTTATATTTATGTAAATATTTTGGCAAATTAGATAGTCTACAAGTTAATCACTCTGATTGGACTGGAACTACCGGCAATCTAAGAAAGTCAGGGGCAACTACTTACCGAGAGTTGGTGAATAGTATCATAGATCCCGCTCTCCCCTCATCGAAGGTCATCGAGGAAAGAGATACTATTCTAGCATCTTACCCTTAACACACATAAGCACTGTCATCATCGTCATTACCACCAAGGCCATCCAACTTATATCAGTCTGACGATCCATATGTGGCATGCAAAATGTCCTCAATTGCCACAAGGGTTTAGACAATTTATTCAAAGCCCAAACCCTTGGGCGTTGGGTTTTACTATAGAATAGGTAGTAACAGGGTTTTCATTAATAATTTAATTTAAAAGGGTCCTGAGTCATATCCTAGTGGGTCCCTACAGTTTTGATGATGATTTTCTTCAATAAATTTAGGCAAGCCCAAATGTCCTATGAAATCTCTAAAATTTTATAAAGGTGTTCTAGGAGTGACCCTAAACAGCTTTAGAATCTTCTGAACCATTTCAAGTTCATTTGGTCTTACTATTTGTTAAATTAATCAACCCTAGTTAAGTTAAAGTTTCATTTCAATGTTTTGAATTATTCTAAATTTTCATATTTCAATTAACCCATGAGTAGAGCAAGTAGTCACTCCTTAGGTGTTATGTTTGAGATTTATGTGGGCTGTCACCTCTAGAGCTAAGTTTGATTGCTTACGGAATTTTATTATCTCCTCTCAATTGGGCTTGAGCTTGTAGTGTTTTAGGAATGCTTATGATAACTTATGTTTAATTATTTAATCTTCTTTATATGATATGGGATGAAGTCTAGCTCACTACCAAGCACTTGGATATTTTAAGAATAAATTTATAATTTTGAAAAAGTTCTATGAAATGATCAGGTTTTTAGAAAATTAGGATTTTTGATGCTAAAGGTATCTTCCGACC